TAGAGAGCCATAACTGTTTTTTATCTTGCATTATGGACTATCGCAAGAAAACATTTCATAGCTTTTCCATGCTCATGCTTCCTAGCAACGGATCTAATCTCAGCTGCCAATTTTCTTACAGAAAAAGGATTGAAAATTAGTGGCCGAAGAGATTTAAGGTTAAGCTTGACTAATTTGAACGCAAATATTAAAAATTTGCTATTAAAGTATAAGGTTCATTCTTCTCGTTAAAGGCACTTGTATTTTGGTACACTTACATTATGTGAGAAAGTTACTAGATTTGTATTTTGGGCCGTTTTGATTAATAAAATTAATTATGAATAATAATTAATAACAATTTACATGTTTTTATTCGAAAATTTTTACTCTATAATAATTCCTTGTAGCTGCAATTGCAGGAATTGGAACCTGGATTTCGCGAATACGCGCCGAGTGTGCTACCGTTACACTCCAAAGATATGCTGGAAGAAGGAGAAGCATATCTTATATATTCCCCTTTAAAATACCTCATATACTCCCCTTTTAAAGCGCAACTAGGGATTAGAGGACCCAGTTGACAAATCTTGGTGGTGACGAATTATTGTACACCAAATGTATTCCAGCGTCACTTATAAAATCTTTTAGAATATTTCGACGTCAGAAAACAAGAAATCCGCAGTGCCGTCGCGGGGATACGAACTTCAGAGCTCCCAAAAACACGTCGCGCGTTCTCCAGCTACAATACAAAGGTATGCCGAAAGGAGGGAGAAAATACCTTGTGCAATGCCCTCGCCGAAACTCCTACCTGGACCTCTTGAATACGCGCCAAGTGTTCTACCGTTGTAATTACGCAGACATTCTAGAAGGAAGGAGAAAATACTTTATACCCTATAAGTGCATATCTCTGTTTCAGCTGCTAAAAGCACGTTTGGAATTGATAAATTTTAATATCTTAGTATTAGGATCGGGTTCGAAAACCCACTCAACCAGTAGTAAATTTACTTGACAGCTATCTCTGTCAGGTAAATTTTCAACTCGTGAAGTAAATTTCAAACTTGTTACATGACATTTCCATACATTTTGTTTTCACCTAAGTGTTCTGGAACGCCTTTGGTGAAACTTTATTCTCAGTTTCACTATGCTTTCGAATGCTCGAGTATACATGTAACACAAAGCTAGCTTCACTAGCTTACTGCCTTTGGATTGACCCCTAGGAAGGGATCCATGAAAAACAGAAAAAAATCTGCAAGTGGTCTACAGTACAAAAACATTTGGGAACCTCTGCTCTAAACGAACTCATTTAGAAACAAGTGAATGAATTTAGAATTCATTGCGTTGTTCCGAATTTTCTTCACAGCGTTTAGGGCGAATTGACGCAATCTGCCACTCAGATGTTCAATTCAGAATTATGTAGAACATCGTACTAATCCGAAACAGGCAACCCGATTTTTTTTTTTAAGTAATTGGAGTCTAGAGATATTTTTAGTGCCATACTGGTTCTAATTCCACTAATTTTATTTCTGTTTTATTCAGTTCAATAACTGATAATTTTCTTTGCTTACATATTGTCTATCAGGAACGGGGTATTCCCTTTAAAACTCATATATATTTCTTTCTGAAGATGCTCTTAAATTTTGTTTTCATCAAAATGCATCATATCTTGAAATTTTCGTAACTAAATACTGAAAACTATGCGTACATAATATATAAATTTTGAATTCTTAGTACAGTAAGATTCATACAATAATCTGAATTTTATAACTAATAAAATTAGCATTAGAAATAAAGTCGTTGAATACATTAGATTCTTCAGTGTTCTTATCTGTATCTGTTTGATAGCAGAATGATTTCATTTTAGCAGCAGACATTTAAGACGAAAATAATGGATCCATATTTTGAATAAAATAGGTCACGTGAAAGAAAACATTATCTATTTCTTTCTTAAAAAGCTAATACATGTCAGTTGTTGCTAAATTGTGGCAAAAGTCTAGAGAACTATCTGCTGAACTGGTACTTCTTAGAAGGATTTCTGCAAGTTCGATAAGGAAACATTTTACATAATTCATCTTAAAAATTTCATAGGGACTCTTCGCATATTGCGCACAAAACAAATACACTTGAAGAATAAATTTCATTTTTATTTTTGCAACGAATGCATATCAGATGCAAATCTGTTTCCAGCTGATTTCAATAAGGAATTTCTTTTGTATCATTGGACAAACAACAATAGCATGTTTTTAAACTGATAAATCATTATTAAAATTTTTACTACTGAATCCTAAATTCCGAGATTCTTAATACAGACTTTAATGCAGAGTTAAAAACTTGATCCCTGGAATAGTTTAAATTAAAAAATTAAACAAGATGAATGATAAAAACTAGATGAAGTTCTCAAAGCCATTAACGAAACTTTAAAATTAATAGCATAATGTCAGAAGCATTAACAGTAAATTTAATAATACCCCTTTTTTCTAAAGATCTTTAAACGTAACATAGTTCTCTTCCAGCGTGATGTTTGTACTGACAAAGATTACTTTATGTGATTATGGAAAAGCACTCGAGAACTACTTTCATTGTTTGAATAGGAAAATTATCTAGGTTGCATTAGAGTCAGTTATCATAACGCTTAATGCCAGGAAACGTATATAAGCTCTGTGAAAGGCAGCAAAATAAAGTATCATAATGTTGCTTTTAATACCATAATGTTGCTTTTATATAACTAAACACAGTACTTCTAAGTCTTTTAATTAAGTCTCGACATCTTAAGCGCATTCGCCACATTTTAATGGCCTGCAATTTTGCTTACCCTGCATGACACAAAATGCCCTAACAACATCCATTTCAGTTTTGAAAATCATCTGAACATTAGACAACACATAATAATGCACGGCTCGGGCTCCCGTCAGTAGAATGCAGGATAGAGGTTGCGCACAATGTTCATAAGGTAGAACTGTCTTGTGAATCCTGACTTTTAATATCATCACTAATGCAGAATGACTTAGTCGTACCTCAGTTATTGCCTATGCTGATGCTACAAGTTTCATAATAAGAGGAAAACTTAACAAAACGTTAAACGATGTTGCAACGGAACATATGAACTCTTCTATGATCGCTGCAACTAAATCAAGCTTCACGTATCCGAAATAAAATCTACGACACTCATAATCCCTAAAACTGGCAACAGACTCACACCTAAACTCAGATTAGGAATGAAGGGACATAAAATTAAAATCACCAGCACACTAAAGTACCTCGTACTGACATGGGATCCAGGTCTTACTTGGATAACACGCATAATGGACCTCAAAAATCGGTCGCTAAGAATTGCGTACAAACTTCGGCAATTCCAACGTGCCAAGTGTGGTTTGAATCTATAAATACAGAAAATTATCTACACAATAATGCAGAAAAAATTCTAATCTACGCAACGGTAGTCAAAACAAACGTAATATGGTAAAAAAGCAAGCAACTTTGCAACATATAGTTCCACCCTCGTACGTATGCAGCAAGGAGCTACAAGCTTAACCTTTACTCAGCAATCAGAGGAGTCTGCAATAGAAATATACATCTGCAACAACATTCTACCACTTTCAATGCAAGGTTTCATAACTACACTGACAGTTCAAGGCAAGATAATATAGAATTCTACACATGGAAAACACAACTTGAACCTAAGAATAGCATGTTCCAGGCTGAAAGCGCATTCACTACCAGTGGCAATGACACATACAGTAAACAATACAACTGCAACGCCAGCTTCTACAGCGACAGCCTCTCAGCGCTTCATGCCATCCTATATTCCGTCCAAAGCTCTCATATCATGAGTAATATTCAAAAAGACTTACTGTGATTCAGAAACTTTAATTTCCACTTCCACTGGATAAATGTACATGTGGGAAATCAAAGAAATAAGCGAGCAGATTCACTAGCAAAGGAGGCAGCTCGCAACATCGGAGCGAATTGATAACCTTTCCACCCACCATGCTATTCCCTCAAAAGAGTCGTCAATAATTTGACTAAAGTAAAATGGCAAGAGAATTGGCACCATGCGCCACAAAGCTCTCGTGCCTATCTATTCTTTCCCAAAATCAGCAACAAAAGAGGTGCTTCTACTGCTCAACTAACACGCTATATTACAGGCCACGACCCATTTCCAGTCTAGTTTCATACACGATAAGCAATACGGACCAATGCACTTACAGCAGCGCGGGAAAACCCGAAAATTACCTGATGAGCTGCCCCACTGATATCCGGCCACCATCTCAGCAACCTCTCATCACCACCTTCAGATAATGAAAATTACAGAATCCCCTACCAATGCTGTATCCTCGAACAAAAATCATTCACACAAAAATCAAGGCTATCCTAGATATCCCGGCAGCACATTGGTCTGGACCTATGCGATGTTACTTAATTTCTTTTGTGCAGTCGCACAGTTTACCAAATAGTTATATGCAGGATTTTGTTTTATATCACACCCATTAATACTTCTTTACATTCTTTGCTAAAACCACAGTGTGAAGCTGATTCTAGAATAGAGGAAGGGGCGGAACTAAATCTGTCTACCTGGTCAAATATGAGGATTAAGTACCGGTGTTCTCGTCTTCCGTTACATGTTGTTTTTAACTGATTTACTGTAAATGGATGCAAAAGTATTTAGTTTAATTAGTTAGTTAATGATGGCAAAGAGCACTATTTATTTTAGGGGCTGCTGAGAATTATCTTGTGAAATACGTTTTCTATTTATATTACATATAAAAAATATGGAATAGCTCAGTAACCAGCCCTTTCATTTATCACGCACTAAACACTGAGTGAACTCTTCCGTAGCCCTAGCTAGTGAACACCTGCTGGGCTGGGAGTGTCAATAGATACAGACACAAGAAGTAATGAAATTTAAGGACAAATCCATGCAAATATGACAGAATATGATAGAAGTAAACTACAGTACTTGGGATAATGATTTTAAAGTCATTTTGAGATTGCTGCCAATATAACAAAATATTAAAATGTGCTCTTACCTGCAATGTTTCGTGTACCATCTTTATGATTAAAACAAATGTGACATTAGAAAGTTGGGCAACGTCATCGAATGCCACTGCAACTTTTGGAGACTTGATGATGAAAAATGAAGAGAAGTGCCGATCTCCTTCACTTATCTTGGATTTAAAAATGCGGAACAGGCCTTTTCCCAGTTGAACAATTTGCATATCACGATCAAGGATGATGTGGAAAGGGAACACCTTGCACATAATCGGTATAGATATTCTGAGGTCTTTTGGGAACCGAGATAACTTTTCAATGTATTTTTCAGTATCAGTGTCCTTTGCCTTCGAGCTGGAGACAGTGGTAACTTGGTATAAAAACTCATCTCCCAAGGAAGTAAGATTTACTATAACCTCAACTTGTTGCAGATTTCTTGCGGTTTCAGTTATGATTCCTACCATTGTTGGTGCAAAGTACTTCTTCTGTGGATGGTGCAAAATCTGTAAATAATGCTTTCATTAGATAAACTTAATAGAGAGTATCCCGATGAGCATACAAATTACGTTAATTTACAATAAATTTGAAACTATGATGTAATCTAAAATCGGTTAATGCTAAAATCGGTAATACCAAAATCTAGTAATTCAGTTTTAGTTTAGATTTTTATCATCACGTTTCCTCATTTTAATTTTTACTGCGGTAACTTATACTGTGCTATTTTATCTACTAATCATGTAAAACGTTTAATTTGCAACTTAGATTTTATTTTCAATGCGAAACTAAATATTTATTAAATAATACTCGGCTAACTTTGTTGTTGCTACTAGCGTAAGAGATTTTATTACTTTATTATACCTTTTAAGGGCCATTTCCTAAATCAGTTAATTCAATAAGTGTCGCACACACTATATATATATTATACATATATATTACTGTGAAAGACCGAAATTTGAAGAATGTCAACATTTACATAGTCGCAGGGGCGATAAAACTTCACAAGGATGAGGTAACGTTTTTGCCTGTCTTACTGAGAGGAGTAACCAGTCCCGGTGAAGAGAATTGTTCGTAACTCTGTAGAGGCGTTTTCACTGCGGTACATGTAGCTTTAGATTCTAACGTGAGAAAGGGCTACTCGATATTACTTGCCTTCTTAATAATGACAGCAGCTGTGCTTGGATAAATGTTAAGCATTTAGTTTTAAATTTAGCCAATAAAGAACTTTTTTTAATTTTTTGAACTTAAACTGCACATTCTAAATGAAAAAAGAAAATAATACCAAAAAAAACTTACTTAATTATGTTATTTATTACAATAACTTAAACTTTTATGACATGTTGAATTGCGCAAGAGACCGTTGCGTTTACAACTGCATTTAGTTGTGGAACACTTCTTTTGCAGTGGCAGCATTTATAGCTTTGCCCTCTACTTATCGAATTAATTGCAGCTGCTTCTCTCAGGGACATTTCTTGAGAAGAATTCTCATCTATTGAAAGTAATTTTTTTTACAAATTACAAACTGATTATGAAAGCCACTTGAAGGTACCATTTTTATTTGCTACTATATAAAGGACGGAGTCTTCAATCCAAACAACAACTGCCAACACCTTTCGGCCTTTTCTCTTCAATATTTTTCTTTGAAATCTGGTTTTCGGTATAGCGACTGCTCAGATTTCCTTCAAAAGTATTAATAGTTACTTCAAGCTGTTCTTCGGTTTCAAAAGTATTAGCATTTTCTTCGATTTGAATTGATTTCTTCATTGTTCTTCGGTTTGAATATTTCCGATTTGTTCGCCAGGCAAAAAAGACGATACTATGTTTGTTCTTAATTTAATGCCAAACATGGCTTCATAAGGACTTAGACGCACTCCTTCATAATATATAGTGTTCTCAGCAAATTGAACAAACGCCAATCAATCTGACCATTTATCTGTATCGTTATCGTTCATCCATGCAGTTAACATGTTCTATATAACCTGATTAGCCCTTTCAACTGAGCCTTGTGTTTGATTATGATGAGGCTTTCCATGGACTATCTTAACATCTTTTCACATAGCTCATACATCGTGTGTGATTTGATTACTGAATTCCTTACCGTTATCTGAATGCAAAATAGCTGGAGCACCAAATGTTAAAAATAATTCGAGAAGATTATACGCAATTTCCTCAGCTGTCTTAGTTTTCAATGGCCGTAACTGGACAAACTTAGTCAAATGATCTCAATACACTAATATTAACTTATATTAGCCATCCCTGTGTGACTGTAGGTCTACCAGTTCAAATTGTCATACTGAATTTAACTCAACCGACCATTGGTTTTACAACAATACCTTTTCCTAGGTGCACTATGCTTCATTTGACATTGTTTAAATAAATTTAAATACAACATTGCAACTTCATATGAAATAATCTTTTATTTACCCTGCAAATCTTTAAGCATACGTGTTCTTCCTCAGTGACCTAATCTAGTGTGAGTTTCAAATAGTATGCTGAACAATTCATCATTAGTAACATAATACTGGATATTCGTTTCTTCTGGTTTTAAGGGTAAAATTAATTTTTCTCCATCATTAATTTTTAAAACGTCAAAACTTTTTAATCGTTTGTAACCCAAAGGTGTGCTGCACTTATGTTTAGCAGAAATCAATTAGAGTACTTTCCTTGTGAAAAATAAAAACAACTGCCTTCTCGTTTACATGCAATCGGATAAAAAGACAAAATTTAAGAAAACGTTGCGAGTACCATCAAACCTTGCATAAGACTGTCAACCAGTGTTTCAGAGTATAACACAGCAGAATAAAGGATTTGGCGAGAGTCTGTCGCCCCTCTGCTGACATCGATTTCTCTTTTTGACCTCCACCACAGTATATTTGTGATTGTCGACATACACGGGTGATGGGCCAAATGTACAAGAATATAATGAAATATTCAGTCTTTCACCGACGCATTTGGCTTGTGTTGACATTCAACGGTGAATGTCTACATTCTCCAATTTTGGTCTCTCACAGTAACACACTCACACACACACATATATATATATTCAGATACTGCAGCTTCGGTTATCCGAACAGCAGTTATCGAAAACATCTAGTATTTTAAATTCTGTTTTGAGAAGTTACTGGAAAAGATTCCTAAAAACGTTTTGAACAAACAAGAGAGAAGTTTCTCAAAGCCTTTCTATCGCTCTTCACTTTCTACTCGATAATTTTGTTCTTATTCTTTAAAGACTTTGCTATGAATATTTCAATTTTCACCTGTACTATCCTACTTCTGTCTTTCGTACTCAATACGACTTTGTACTCAATACTCTTTTCCGAACTAATTATAGTCTTTGCAACTCGTCGAAAAACTTCGGGCTGTGAGTGTATTGCTTTTTATTACACCACAAATAGAGAAGAATCATTAATTTCAATTAATGGCATATTAGCAAAAATTGCTTGTTCCTTAAAAGTATGATAGCTGCGGATTGTAATGTAAAAAAAATGAGCCATTACAGATATACTTTTCGTTTTGCTGGAAATTAGAAATTATTTTAGAAATAAGACACAAATTCCTTGAGAAAAATTTCGGTTAAAAAGATATTTCTGTTACATGTATGATAAATAACATCAAATCAGAAAGTTTCATGAGTTCATAAATAACATGAGTTTCTTTCTACTCATGTTTTATGAGAAGAGTACATCAGAGCGTTGTTTGCAACACATGTAGGTCTGTTATTTGTATAACTACTTTAATCAGAACATTCTTTACATTTGTTTTACGTGCTTGCCCCCTCGAACAAGATAAGTAAGTAAATAAAGAAAAACCACATTATGCAAATATTCTGACTATGTACTTCGATAAACCGAGAATGTTCACCGGTAAGCTAATTAGAAACGCACCACTATGTACGATCTGTTATAAGAAAAGGAATAGTAGAGCTTTGGCATTTGATTCAACATACGTCCTGACCTATCTATCCATCCGTGAGGGAAATAATGTAATTTCTTATACTCTGAAACAGTTAATTGTTACGCTCAAGGCCAAGATTAACGAAGTCTCGTGTTTAGAATTAGAGAGATTTCTAAACACCTCAGACTTCTATTTGCTGATTTGATTGATTAGATATTCATCTCAAAGCACTCTATAGTTATCTGCCGTCAAGAAAAAAATAGCTTCTCTATAAAGATGTTAGATCGGGAAATTGGCTCATGTTACACATGAAAGAAAACCGAATTTTGCAGTTATTACGCCTTATTCGTTTATTCGAACTTCAGTTTGATTTCGAAATGTATATTGTTTTGTTCTGTTGTAATTTTTGATTGAAACATAGATCAGTTTCTATCATGCAAGTGTCTGTTTTTTTGTATTTGATGTTATTTTTTTTTAGATTTACGTTGGTAATACACGAGCTCTGATCCACTTCTCAGTACGGCAATTTATGCTCAAATTTATTTTTGAAAAACAGCATGTTCATTAAGGCTTCAAGGATATTTTTGAAATCCTCAGAACAAACTTTTTGCTAGTCTTATGATACTTAAAACGGTTACACAGCATTTTTATTTGACACTTTATCGATTTTATAAATAAAACAAGATAATTATTTCTTATTTAATTATAAAAAATATATCCCATTATAAATAATTTTACTAATTTTTTATTGTTCTAAATTATTTGGAAGTTCTGTCCGGATAGGATATGGAAATTAAACCTTTTGAGTGGCATCATACATTTAAATGTAAACAGAATTATTATCTTTATTATACATGTCATCCGACTAAACAAGTTAGCTTCATTTTATTCCTATGTTTCCGTGCTCTTCAAGTTTGGCTCCAACTAGCCCTTGATGAAGAACTAAATTATTTAAAAAAAGCAATAGCTATTGACAGGGCTTTCACCCAACATATTAATCAAGAGTTAAAAAATTGTCATCTCACACACTAAAAGCCACACTCTTATTTTAGGAGATTATAAAATTCTGTTGTCATTCCTTCTTTCCATCAATTAGCTATAAGTTGCACATATTTGCAGAAATTTAACTTTCGGGTGTTTATTTATTCTCCATCAATAAAATTCACTTCTATACTCAAGGACCCCATCCCGATATGATTCCTGGGTATTTATAGGATTCCTTGCCAGTGTGTTTTTAATTTACATTGGTCAAACTAAGAGAAGCCTTAAAATTTCGCCTTTAAGGAACATGAGGCATACATTAGGAATAAAGAAACACAGAAGTCTTCTGTTACTCAGACATTGTTGGTTGGAAATCACATTTTCTATTTTTCTTCAGCCAAAATTATTAAAAAAAAACAGCTTTCATTGATTAACTTAGATTTTCCTAGAGGCATTTCTCATTCCAAAAAGTCCTTCCGTTCTAGTTACGATCCTAATTCCAATCCAAATCCCTACCTTCAGCCTTTAGAGACATGTTTTAGTTCTGGTTTCGCCAATAGATGGCGCTACTTTGCTTAACACCTATGTCAGCTGCTTCTTATCTTATCCTATCACTATATCCCTTATCTTG